ATTTTATTTATTGTTTTATGTATCTTTATTGTTGAAAGTATTAAATATTCTCTTCCTTTTTTCTTTTCCCCCCGCTGCTATCCCCCTTGGGGCTCTCATCCCCCCCCTCCCCTGCCTTCACTGCACTGTTGTCTGTGCCCATTGGTTATGCCAATATGCATATCAGTGCTTCGGAATTTCTCCCCCCGCCCCCACGTGTTTGCCGTTTTCTCCTTGGGCAGGCCATGCCCTGAGTTCAGGTCTCGACTCGTGCATTTATTCAACAGATCTTGCCTCGGGCCAGGTGCAACCAATGTGTGGGGGCCCTGGGAATGGAAAGGAAAGGGAGGGTGCTGCTCTTTCAGGAATCCCACTAGCACATTTGGGGAATGTAAAAGGCATATTAGGCAAAGTATAAAATAACATCTCATGACTATATTGTACTGATGGGGCGTTTCATACCAGAGAAAAACATCAAGATTGAGGGTGGTGTGTCTGGACGTGAGAATAAAATGAGCAGGGAAGATAAGCCTTATTTTTGAGACTTGAGTAAAATCTCAAGTTTGGTCGGAATGGGAGTGTCTGATTTGCTAGAACAGGTAGATCCTTTTTAAACAACTTTTACAATTAGTTTTGAGTGTAATGATCAACACACTTATTTTAAATGTAAAATTTTCTGAAATGAGTACTGGAAAATATCAGCTGATGAAACACAGGAGGGCTCTGGCTGGTTTGGCTCAGGGGTTCGAGAGTCGACCTGTGGACAGAAGGGTCTTGGGTTCGATGTGTTTCTCTCTAGCATTTATGTTTCTCTCTCTCTCTGTCTCTCTCCCTCCCACTCTATCTGAAAATAAATGGATAAATGTCTTCTGGTGAGGATTAAAAAAATAAATAAACACACACACACACACACACACACACACACACATACACACACACAGAAGGGATACCTGGGTCAATTCACATTTCTTGTCATGGGACTATTTATTACTGGATTGCTCCCTGGACAGTATAAATGTAGTTTTTGTGTATACTACTGGGCAATAAATATTTTTCCCCCAGTTACTTGGTGTTGTGGATCCGGGGGCACTATGTTGTTATCTGTTGCTCCATGACCCCTAAATCATACGGTGACTCAGCTGACATCCGCATTGTTGTATGGGCTACTGTCACCAGGAACATATGGTTCTCATTCTACCAAGACTTTCATTTCATGCTGTTACCAGAATGCTTAGAAATCCTGATTAGATGGGAAGGAGATTAGCTTTCTCCCTAGTGGAATAATTTCATTATAACAGAGGTGTCATCTCCTTAAGCTAAATGTGGAAAGAATAATAGAAAGATTACAGATCATGAAAAAAAAAAAAAGCTAAAAAGGCAGTATTATAAATTATGATGTGACTTGGAGAGCACATCTTGATATATTTAAATAAAATCCTTAAATTTAGGTAACTAGATTGATCAGTTTTAATTCTCGCTTTTCTCATTTGCATCACTTTTGTACAAAAAGCATTCTCCACCATCTGGCTGATTTATAGGCTAAAAAGCACTTTGAGGGCTGACTCCCCTCGTCTCTCTGAGTTCACGGAAGTGACATATTTAACCTTAATAGCATCAGCTCTGTTAGTCAGTACAGTACAACAGAGAGTCAAACTCTACCCTTACTTAAGAACTTCAAAAGAAATAAGTCATAAAGCATTTCAGTGACTGGTTTTCTGTTGACACAAAAAACATCTATGTACATTATGAAGATAATAAATAAACACAACTATAATTTGAGCTTTGTTGGTTTCTCTATGCTTTTATTCTTTCTCTTTTTTTTTTATACTCACTTGAGGACATTTTTGCATTTATCTTCAGACAGAGCAGGAGGGAGGGATGGGGCAAGAGAGAGAGAGAGAGAGAGAGAGAGAGAGAGAGAGAAACATCGATGCAAGAGAGACACATCGATCTAGTGGTTGTCACCCACACAACCCCAACTGGGGCCAGGGACAAACTGCAACTAAGGCATGTGCCCTTAGTGAAAACCAAACCTGGGACTCTGGTCCATGGGCCAAAGCACTAACCACTGAGCAACTGGCCAGGGCTATACATTTATTCTTAAAAAACAAACAAACAAACAAATAAAACTTTAACTTAATTTTGTCCAATGCAATTTTTTTCCTGGATATTATTGAAATTAGAAATAAATTTTACATTTGGTTCTGTGATTATTTAAAAGTATATACCCTTCACTCTTTCACTCAGTGAGACCTAAAGAAGTATTCTGAGGACTTTCTCGACACCTGCCCTCCAGGTGTCATAAATGTTTGCACACTAATGTGTCTCCAGAGAACAAATTGCCTAATCGATAGATGTTGTGGCCTGGGAAGAGGAGAGAGGGATTGCGAAGATGGGGTCAAAATAATTTGGTGGCTCCCAAGCCTTATTTTATAAAAATAAGAAAAGAAGGAAGAGGAAATAAACACTCTAATCATAAATTATTCTAAAACTGAATATATTAAATTTAAAGGACCACACATTGTTATAAATATGCTCTCCCTAGTTTTTTGGGATAAAAATTCCTACTTTTGGAATTTTAGTGGTTTAAAAAAAGCAGGTTCATTTTATAATTAGCAACTATGTGTCAGTCTCTCCTCACTTTAGTATTTGTATATTATTCTGGAGCATGAAATAATGGTGATTGAGAACCACTGTGTTGGCCAAAGATGATGAGTTCACAGTCTGTCTAGTGACCTTGGCTTCAAATTCCACTGAGCAGATGACTGTGAGGCCTGGAACAAGTCAGTATACTTATCTTGGTATCCATCTTCTTATATGTAGAAACGGGCTTTACATTAGTGTCTATTCAAGCATTCTATAGTTCAAAAATATAGTCCTCCAGCCTAATAGAATTATCAGCCATGATAAAGTATTTCTACTTCCTAAACTGTCTGTTATCTCCTTATAGAGTCTTCCATGCTTCTGTTCATGTGCTAAAAGACAAATTCTATGAGAACAGTTCCCTCCAAAAATAATACTACATTACTCAACCTCTTGTTCGCAGTGGGGTGGCTGCTACCAGTTTGTAAGTGGTACCTTAGGCACTTGGCTTTTCCATAATGTGCTAACTTTTTAGAATCATTATAAGACAGAGAAGTAGAGAGAGAAGGTGTGACGTGGGGAGAGAGGGAGAGTGGGAGAGTGGGAGAGAGAAAGAGAGAAGAAGGGAGGTGGCCTCTTATCTCTCCCAGTTCTACCTCCCTACTTTCGTTTCACCTTCCAATCCTCCAGAGTGCATTACGCTGATGTCCTGTTCCCACCAAAACACAGATGCACAGGGACCAGGAATTAAGGAACACACGTGACTTGCTTTAGGACATATGAAAACCGAAAGTAATGCCATGTATTGACTTTATTTTTCCCCAGACACTGACAAGTTAAAAAAACAAAATTCAAAAAATTATTGTACAGTCCCAGATGGCATTTAAGAATCAGGAATGTGAACTTAAGTTTATAGGTTTTTTTTTTTTAAATGTTCTTTTGATGCATGAAACCTTACTTTACATTTATAACACATTTAAAAAATTCATTATGAATTTAGATGTTTAGGATAACCCTTGGGTAAATAAGCTTGCTACTGAAGGTGAATTAAAATAACAATTATTGGGAAAGAAATATGACAGAAAAATATCTACAGGTCACGATTGAATAATGAGCTCATTTTTTTCTTTCAAAATTGATAATTTAGTTCATATTTAGTAACTTATTGTTACTTTTACCATTGCACCAAACTGAACATTGAAACATCCACATTTTACTTCATTACACTTTTCACTTTGAGCAAAAGCAGGTTAGGACTTGCTATAAATGTGTGTGTGTGTGTGTGCATGTGTGTCTGTATACATACACATATATAGGTTGCATTTTATAATATGATATATATGTCTATATTCACCAGGATATTAAGAACTGAATGAGGAGAGTCCTAAGGAGAGGTAGGAAATAGAATTACTTCAAACGACCCCAGCAGTAAGTCTATAGGAGTTAGTGACTCACCCTCCACAGTTAAATCACATCTTATATTTGTTTTTAAAAAGCATGCTCTCCAAGCAAGACCTTTATTCGCCATATGTGTGCGCTGTGCATGTTCTTTCTAAGTGGGCTAGTTTTGCTCTCATGCCACGGGAGCAGGTGGCATGAAGCTGTTTTGATGAGGTTAAAAGACTCCTCCCCTCTTTCCCCAAGCAGCAGCCGAGTGCGTCAGCAGCGACTGTGTGCCTGGCTCGGCTGCGCAGGGAGGGTGGAGGCAAAATTGATATCAAATCAGGGTATCAAACTGAGATCGGGATGTTCCACTTAAGTTGTTACCCATTTTCATTAGCCATTCCAGGGGTGAAAAGCTTATAAACATCTTCTCTAGTAAAAACATTTATTTTTGATAAGATTTCTGTTTTCCTCCTCCATATAGACTGAATTAGTGTTGCAGTGGATATAAATGAAGGGGTTTCTTTATCCTCTTTTCATTTTATTATTTACTAATCAGACTTCAGCTCAGACAGACACAAGAGAGAGGTTCGGTTGCCTAGATGTGAGGCATTTAATGAGGAGGGGAGGCCCCGGGGAGCCGAAATCCGAAGTAGAAAGATGCTGCTTTCGGGTTTCTTGTCATTTCTTCAGTCCCTTCTTCACCCTTTTCCAATGGGCCTAGTGAGCAGGAACTATCCAAGGTGCTAGAATGCTGGCAGCTTTGCCGTTCAATGCAGACGGATTGCAGAAACACAGAAGAAAGATTACTGCTTATTTCAGAAGGTAGGTTCTTTGTTTCAGAATCTCTGATTAATCAGCAGCAGCATCAACAGACTAAGGCAGCTGGAGAGGAGAGAGAGAGAGAAGCAGGAAGGGAGGGAGTCAGGGCAGGGAGGGAGGGAGGAGAGAGAGAGAGAGAATGAGAGAGAGGGAGAGAGAGAGCGAGCGAGTGAGCTAGCTGGTTGTTACGGGGGAGGGACCATGCCACAAGCTAGGCTGCTCCAAACCTTCTCTATGTAAGTGGCAATGAGAAAGAGCATCTTTTTGGCTGAAAGGAGACATTTAGAGAGGATGTGGCTGATTTTTTGTTTTTATTTATTTTTGTCTTTACAGAATATAATCAAATGAGGCACCTTAGCCAGCCTGGGTGACTGCTTCAAGTCTTGTAATCATCTGTGTAGCAAAGTGGGTAAAATCATTCAATTTCTTCTCTGCTGGACTGGAAGGACAGGGGCTGTGTGTTCATCCCCACCCATTAGCTATGCCCTCTTTTCTCTGAATGTCGATTTAAGGAAGCAAACACCTGTCTTCTGCCACCGTATCTTCCCAGAAAACTTTAAAGGCCATTTTATCTGATAGGAAGAACATCAAGAATGCTCTGATCTCTAGTGATGAAGAATCTGGGAGTGGACACTTTCCCCATCCAGATACAATGCACTTTAAATGAAGAAAAACTGAGCTGAACTACAAGTCTATCTCTTATGGTGCTGGATTACTCCTACAGAGCTGCCTGACACCCACCACGCGAGAGGGCTCTGACAGACACAAGTCACCTACTGATTATTTCACTTAGCTCTCCCTGGGGACTTAAATTTTGGTATGTATCTCTCTCTCTTTTTTTTCAGATTCTCTAAGCATGCTAATTGAATCCAGCACTAAATACACCAAGCAATCTGGTTATGAAATGGAATGGATTTTAGCCGGGGATTCTTACTGCTGAAGTTTGCATGTCTTATTAGGTGGAGCAGAAATAAAGCCACAGCAAAGACATCCAGGGCTTTAATCAGCCTCAGGCTATTTTGCACCCTCTTGCCCACTTAGTTACATCACCACAGAAATAGTTAAACTGGCTTTTCATTGGTAAAATAAGTCATGTTGAATTATTAAAAGCATGGAAAATATTTTCAAGAGTATTAATTGGCATTCACATTGTGCATGCTGGCTATTTATCTGCTATTCCATACCATAAATATTTTACAACAGTCTCTTAGCACATTTGTGCCAGCTGAATTTTATGTTCTCAAAAAGACATGGTACTCCCCCAAACTGGACAAACTATTAGACATACACTAAATCTGAAACTGCTTTTTCCTAACTGATTAGGCAAAACATCTTTGAGAAACATATATTTTAATACCTCTCAAGATCACAAAAATGTTATTAGTCTCATCACAATGAATATTTTCTATAGAACTTTGGGTGGACTTGTTTTACTTGGGACATATACTTATTTTGTTGGGGTGTCTCTATTCTAATTTTTCCATCCATCAGCAATATTTTAAATATAAGAAATGTAGGTATTCTTTACTTGGAAGAAATATTACATAAAATAATATTATTCAGTTTAATTCAAAAATTTAGTTAGTTTGCTACAATAGAACTGGATTATTTCTCTAAATATAGGCCAGAAATAAGAAAATCCAGTTGAAGAGTTTACATGGTGTTGTTTTGGTCACTTGAACATGCAAGGATTCATAACCAAGTAGTGTGGAATAATAATTGTAGAACCAGAGTGAAAATTAACTCTTCTAACTGTTCACATTTTAAACAGTGCTCCACCTTGTTTTGCATATTGTCAAATGGTAAGCAAATCAATATGAGAACATGAGCCACACATGCCAAAATTATTTAATTTTCTGTAAAAGTGCAACATATGTTTGCCAACTCAGCAAAGAAGGGAACTCTGTGATGGAAATCGACACCAGAAAATTAATGAAAACAGAGCTGAGAAAAATTCTTACAACTTCACAAGAAACTAGAGAGAAGCCCAGGGACTTAAAGCACCTGCAAAGTTTAGAGGGAGAAGTGTAGAAATCCTGTACACCACAAGACTGCCTATTGTTTGAAACAACAAATAAGTATAGACTCCCAGTTCAGTTAGATGGTGTTCATTGTAGCTCCAGTCAGCAATTTATTATACCGACTGTATCTACTTTGCAAATCCTGCCTTGCAAGCATCTGGAAACATTTGGCCAAAGGCTCAGAAAAGTATCTTGGCCATTGACATTTCTCATGAATCCCTAATATTAGTGGAAATAGGCATTCCCTTTAGACCATGGGCAAATAACACCATGACAACCTGGAAGTTGGGGAGGAATTTCTAATTTATGATGCTACTACATTAACATGTTATATGCTCATTTTACTCATTTTGGGAAGGGAGACAGAAGAGAAAAACTCACTACAAAGTAATCTGCTTTCTGAGAAAAAAGCAATCAGTGTCTTTGTAGTCACTTCCACGAGCTCTCTTGGTTTTAACTCTAACATTTCCCATTTTGGGCAGAACAGCTGCATTTGATGACAGTGAGAATGAGAAAATGAGCCTGACAGTCTGTGGGGTTGAGGATAGAAATTCAAGCACAGTCAAAGTGAAGTTGCAGGACTTAATTTTGACACATTATGAGATTTTATCAGAAAAACAAGTCTGACATGCTTCACATGGGTTATAGATCATATCCAGGCAATCTAGTCTGTTGATTTTGTTCTACGTGAAGTCAGCAAATTTTAGAAAATAATTTGCATACCTATTTTACATATGTATATGAATCCTGATTATTTAAATACGTATATTTTCAAAATGTGTTTTTAAATTGGTCTGAGTACATGCAAAAAATGTGAAAGTTCTTTATCTCTTGATGAACAAAAAAGTGTAGTGAAAATTGCCTTGGAAAAACTTTTATTTGGATGAATTTGTACTAGGCACAATAGGATTCTTTCTCTCAAGGAAGATCAAGTGACTGAAGTAGAAAGGAAAATCAAATTTCAATAACAAAAATTGTAATAACTTCCTCACAGCATTGAGACAGGTGTGGTTTGAAAACTTCAGAAATAACTAAGAGGTGGAGACCAGAAACCTTGACTTTGTACAAATAAAATACAATATATAAATGTGAAATGAAAGTGAAATTTCGAGGCTTTCCACCAGGAAATGTATTCCCTGTATGTATTTTTGTTTTTCCAGGACAACACAATAGCAATATAGTAATAGCACAAAATAAACTTTACCTTACGTTAACTATCATATTAACTTATAGGATTAACTGTGACCTGACGTTCAAGATGCTTTTCAGAGAACTCAAAGAATTGGGGAGCAGCTCTGGTTCTTCTTTCACTACCACTTAGTAGACATGAAAAATAACTGGTTTAATCAAGATTTTATAATTTATTGTCTTGGCAAACCAAAATTTTAGTTGGAGAACAGCTCCATTTAAGAAATTTTGAATAAACACTATAAGAAGAAGAAGCAGAGGAAAAAAAAAACAAAAAACAAACCAGCAACCATGGGGGCCTGTGGACTAACTCATAGATGATACTGGTATACGAGAAGCCTGCTTTTGGTAAAGGTGGTGAGGATCCCTAGGAAGGCTCTGTCTGAGAAGCTAGTGTGCACAGCTATCTGAGTCTGTCCTCATGGAGCCAGAGTGGCGGATGTCACAATGCATGAAATTACACTGAACGAGAAATTTGTTCTGAATTTTAGGAGAAAAAAAATGACAAATGCTTTTAAATGCATCTTAATATTTATTTGACCCTTTTGAACATCTTCAACAATAGCTTGTAATTAATTTTTAAAAAAATCTCCTATACAATGAGAAAGTTAATCTTGACATCAGTCAGTGCCATATTAAATATGCTTTGGTAAACTGAGGCCACACAAAATTGATTCTTTAATTTACAAAGGAAATAACCCATATAAATGTATGCTCTTTATGTTTTTGCATGCACTGATTTCTTAAAAATGTGCCCCAATTTTTTTCTTTTCTTTGATTTGAACTGTCAAAATCATGTTGAGTCTTAGCCTCTTGAGTTCCTTGTGTGCAAGTAGTGGCTACAGAAAGAGAATAAAAACAGTGAATTGTTTATATTTCTGTGGGTTCTATTAGGATATCTTTATGTATATTATTATGTTCCACATACATATGTACTAGATAGTTTGATTTCAGTGGAAACATTTTAAAGAAATGTAATGCTACTTTCAGCTTTAGGCTCAGAATTGGAAGATACGGTGATGGTTTCACACAAAAGAAAATAGAGTAATGGTTAATTCAATAAAAAAGTTAAATGTTCAGTGTTTTTTATTTAACCCTAATCCCATCAGTGCAAATTGGTGTCTCTTAGCTGAGTAGAATGACATTTCAAATTTTGGGAAGTGTCACATTATACAAAGTTTTATTTAGTCAAGGCGTGGTCAACAGGAAGTAAATAAAAAAAGTGAAAGAATAAAACAAAATAAAGCTGAGCAATCAATCATTCAATTGTATTTAAGCCCACATTTATAGATTTTATAAGAATGGCAATGATTTTAAATACAGTGATCCAGAAATATAAACAAAAGGACTCTTACAAATACAGAATATAACAGTGGAAAAAAGAGTAAAGCAGAGACATGCAGTGATCTGTGATTTGTGTAGGAATTCTGATCTTGGTCATTTTAGGTGCTTTCCCAGGAGAGTCCTGATACAAATTTTAAATATTGGCCACAACTTCAAAGAAAAAGAACACACTCATAAAAGTCTTACACTATTTGAAGCAATGCTGTGCACCCCAAGGAAAACATATCTGCCCTGTGGATGATGACCACAGATGTCAGCTTTGGACCAGTGCTCTAGGGGGCGCTAACATGTTTAATTTGTTGTGAGAAAAATTGGCTGCAGACATATACTAATTCAAATAAAAGGGCTGAATGCAGAAATGCAAGGTGTTCCTTCCACCTTGCCCGCTCTGTTGTCACAAATACCCCATGAAATAATTTGAGGTCTAGTGTGGTAGAGTGATTGATTGACTGATTAATGGTGATATATCTAAAAATGCTACCTGAGGAAAGGGGTCCATTTGCTTTATAAGTATGGTCTTCTAAGATGCTGACTTTAGGAGTTAGGTGTCCAAGTCAGGCCTTCATAAAATGTTTGTACATAGCATTTTTGTTCAAGGGCCAGAAATGAACTTGGTTTAATATTTAACAGTCAAAAGGTGGCCAAGTTCTTAATGTTAAAACATACCTTATTTAATATCTATGTTAGCCATAAATATAATTTTTTGAAAGGTAATTAGGCCCTGGCTGGTTTGGCTCAGTGGTTGGAGCGTCAGCCAGATTACCAGAGAGTCTCTGGTTCAGTTCCCACTAGGGGCATGTACAAAAAAAATAAATAAATAAAAAAGAAAGAAAAGAAAGGTAAATAGATTTATGACCCTACTTGTCTCTGAGTTCTCACTGCAGGAAAATGGTAGCAGTTGTACTGAGGTATACACTTACGACATGGTTCACTTTTCTTTAGTGGGGTCATGAATCTACTTATTCAGAGTTCAGTGGCCTGAGGAACACCTTTTGACTTGGAACGGTGGGGGCTGAATGTTTGAGAGATGGAATGAGTTTCATGGTTCATGTGCCCCCAACCCTTATTTTCTGGTTGTAGGAAATGGGGCAGAATGGATAAGTGGTCTGTCTCCATGTACTTGGTTAGTGGGCAAATCAATTAATACCTTTCATGGCCTCCATATGCATGTCTGTAACCAAGAAAGTTGAACTGCACTAAACATTCTATTGATTAATGTCTTAAAGTAAAATTATGTTCATTGAAAAGTTATCACTAAACACAATTTTGGTTAAGAGTTGTGAAAAGTATCTAATGATTATGGTCACATTTATTGAACACTTACATGCATTTTTTTAACTGAATCCTCACAACAATGTAAGGAGGTAAGTATTATTCCAACCAGCATTTTCAAAATCTAGAAACTAAAACTTAAAGAGGTGAGTTAATTTGCACGAAGTCGGAGATCTAGGGGTGGTCTAGTTGGAAGGTTCAGGTCATACTGCTCAACTTTTCAGCTTTGCTCTTCAGTGCAGCCTGACTGCCCACCCCTCCCTGGCATCACAACCAGGTTTTACACGTGGACAAGGAAGCAAAAAAGTGTGATGCTTAAACATTGGTAGGGTCCAAGTTTATTTTGAATCTTAATTTCTATTTTTGAAGACTAGATGTTATTGTCGAAAGTTTTTTGTTGTTGTTCATTCTCAAAAATAGTGACCCTCAGCCATGACAAAGTGGTCAATGTCAGCACTGCTACCTGAATTAGTGCTCTTGTCTAATTGTGTTGAGATTGTTCATTCATTACACTCTAACATTGTTCATTCATTGGTTCATAACAGGTGCTCAAGACATACTTGAATAAATGAATGATTGAGGAATCAAATATTTTTCTAGACCTAGATGATATGAACATGCTCACAAACATTGATTTCATTTTCATTACCCTGACGTTTTTCTAAATTTTGTGGTTGATTTTCACCCCCCAAATTTTCATCTCAATTTTTAAAAATCTTGTAATAAAACTTTCCATATTATAAATCATTCATGATCCTATTATGTAATATTTTCTCACAATACACACAAGTTAAACTCTAACCAATTTGAAAAACCACTTAAGACGATCATTAATTTTCAGAGGTACACAATTAACCTTGTTAATGTTTGGAATATGTAAATGGTATAAAGAATCACTGGTGTCATTTGCATGGTGAGGCAAATTTAAGGGAAGAAATAAAAACCTATGGGTATTGCCTTGCACAATGGGAAATATATAATTTTGCTCGAGGACAGAGTGGGAGTGATCATCTTTTACCCTGAGGCATTACTTCTAGAATCCTTGTAATACTGACTTGGTTTGCTTAACTATGGTAGAATTAATTGCCATAAAGTTATGCAGAACTTTTTCTATCCAGGCACACCTAGTGCTGAAGTCCTCAGTAGAAGGAAATTTTCAATAATGGTGATGATTTAGCTCTCTGAGAATCATGTTCTTGTATTTTTTTCCCAAAATAGCAATTATTTCTAGCAGTAATTTTCTATTCCTCTGTATGTCCACCACTTAAGCATCTAATCTGAAGGACTGATATTAAAACACAATTCAATTATCTTAGACAGTTGGAATTAAAAGATCATTTCATTGGCTAGCCCATTATGGCTTAAAACCAAATCAAACATAATAAAACTTAACATAAAATATCATGAATCAACAAATAACTCTTCCATCCTATAGATTCAACAATTTCATAGAAATTGGGGAATGCATTCTTAAATTCAGTGTGAGTTTCAAATAACATATGAATTGACTGACAACTAAAATGCTAATAAACTGTGATAAGAAGTGGAGTTTCCATAGCTACAGTCCAGGTTATGGAACATGATTATACTTGTAAAAAAAAATCGGAATAAAAATGATTTGTAATGGGGGAAATGAAAGTCTGTGGCTTCAGCATTAAATAGTTGGACTAATATTTTATGAATACTTTGGAGCCTTTTGAAAGAAGTAGAAAAGATGTAATGGTAATATATAATTTTTAAATGACCAAATGTTCCCCTTGTTAATTTATTTTGCTTTAGAATTTCAATCTGATTCAATTATACCAGTGTCCTATACTATAGTGAATATGTAATTGAGGACAGTAATCCTTATTAAGCTAGAAAGGTAAAATGCTTACCTTATATGTAATTAATTAAACTTCAGTTCTGTTTTTGATTGATTAAAGCACAATTTCCCTAACTCATGGCTTTATTGATTTCTGTGATTCACTGGATACTTTTACTTCCAGGCACGATGATTTTTATAGCATGCTGGTCATCCACCCACTCATTGATCTATACCCATATATACATTTGAAATTGCTACTGCTGCCAATCTTCCTTCTACACTTTTATTAGAATAATGTTAGCTAACTTTATTATATGCTTACTACTGTTGACCTCTATGCTGTTCTTTAGAGTCATCACCTCTCTTAGTCTTCACATTAGCAAGTGGTAGGAGAGGGAGTTTCCATCATTTTACAATTGAATGTAATATGTATTGGTTCAACCCCTCTGTTGTTGTTTTGATTTTACTTTAGTTTTCAGTAATTCTTTCTGTGGCTGAGGTTTTTAAACCACGTAGCAGTGATAATCACAGTTGTCACTGCTTGAATTTCCAGACTGGTCAGGATTAACGCGGTCCTGGTGATCTATGATATTTGGCTTATAGTGCCAGGCCTTTGTAGAGAACTATTCTGAAAAATAACGGAGGGAAGGGATTATTGCCAAGATGAATTATATTGGAAATGTGTATTTCCATCATGACAGCTATATTTTGCATGCATAGTTCAGATTCATCAGCTTAATTTAAAATTTAAGGAAAACACACACAATGAGAATGTTTCTTCCAAATAATTATATTACTGTATTAAAAATTAAACCGGAAAGTCTTTATGGTGCTCAGAAATAAATCAAACTTGGATCATATGTGTCATCTTGGTATAAGAACATATTTTTGAGAAACAAAATCATATGACTCTAATTACATAAACCAAATGTTTTTCTTCAGGTAGTATACTAGCAGCCCATGTTACCTGTCAATGCAAAACCTTTGTCCTTTTTCCTGCAAATTTGGTTGCTTTGAGGAACTGTGTGCTACTCAGGCAACATTCACTTAATATTTATTTCAAATAGTCTGATTGTTTATCATTTCTAATGAGACATTGTCTCCAACTTGATTCTAACATAATCATTGGAGTTTGGGGTTGACATGGTCTTCGGGAGAATAAACAGATCCCTTTGTCCCCTTGTGTTCTCATGCCACAGGAAGTGTTCCTTTTTACATGAGATCCTCCAAGATGATGAGTTCGAATCCTGAGGAAGACCCCTTGGACACGTTTCTCCAGTATATTGAGGATATGGGGATGAAGGCTTATGATGGCTTGGTTATTCAGAATGCCTCGGACATCGCTCGAGAGAATGATCGCTTGAGGAATGAGACAAACCTGGCCTACTTGAAGGAGAAAAATGAAAAACGCCGGAGACAAGAAGAAGCAATAAAACGGTAAATATAAATGAAAGCGTTTGGGATTTTGCACACAGGAGAAAATCTGTGAGTTGTGCAAAGGCTGTGATGTCATCATCCGGTCAAGAAAAGGACCGTCAAAGGTGGGCTTGATGAGATCACAATCCATCCTACTGGCAGGATCCTCGCCTTAGTTAGCAAACGTGGTTAACCTGAGTGTCATGCTTGTGGAGAGGCAGATTGAAAGGGGAAAGAATCCAGTTTCCTCTAAATAAAAGTTCATACTGAACAATCTCTTGATAAAAGCCCAAGAGAACACACAACACTTTAATGGCCAGTGGTGGATGAAAATTCTCACCTTTAACGGTCTTTGTTTATAGTTCTTACCTTATGATAGAGTTCACCCTCTCCCTAGATTATAAAAAGACTCATTGTTCATTAGAATTTTATGAGCCCCTGAAGACAAGTGGAACCCTCAGCGTGTACATTTTGCACAGAATTTTATGATTGTTACAGCTCTTGTCTGGTACCAAGCATCCCAGGTTCGTTCACATGAAATGACTTTTGTGCTGCAAAACTTACCAGTTGCAAGTGAGTGAGCCCTCGAGTGCAGCTTCCAAAGCGAGGCTGAATTTCCTAGGCCACTGAGACCAAAAGAAAGACACACATCTTTTCGTTTTTCAAAACATTACTGTGTTCCGTGTGTGTGTGTGTGTGTGTGTGTGCGCACACACATGTGTTAAGGGGTTCAGGTAGACACGTGTTTGATGGAGTGCTATTTCTTCAATGGAGTCCACTTACTAAGTGCAAAGATGCAGAATTTAGAGAATTAATCCATATCTATTAGCTGGGTAACTGAATGATAATGGTTAAGCTATTATCCATAGTTAGTGGATTTTTTTTTTTTTTTTTATCAAATCTGGCATTAATACTTTTGCTAACTCTCTGTCAACATTATGATTTTAAGGAAAAGGAAATGTTATTTTAAGATGAACTGTTCACTTATAAAGAAGCTAGGTAAAGATGCACTACTCTGATCATTTAATTACAAGAGACTTTATATGAGAAGTGTACTGCCAGAGATGTGAGTCATATAGCTACCTGTTGAAAGATAACTCAAGCAGAGTTCAATGTATCCCATGAAGTGGACAAGGCATCATGTAGTGACCAAGGCAAACATTGGAAGGATGTAAATTCAGACTGGTAGTGGTCTATTGGGCAATGTAGAGCCTTATAAATGCTTATGTTTTATTCTAGAAAAACATATTCATAGAAGATTTCTGAGCAGCAAGTGACATGCCCTAACTGAATGTTTTACAAGGATTATTGTTTTCTTTGTATTGAATAGATGGATGGGCCATAGATGAATGCAAGAAATCCAAAGAGAATGTTTTTGCAATCATTTGGGTGAGAAATGATGGTGGTTTGGACTAGGTGGTGTGGAATGATCAAATCATGAACATCATGAGAATTTTCTAATTGGTGAGATGTAGGAGTTGAGGAAGAAAAAGTAACTAAAGATGATTCTCAAGTCTGTTTGTTTGTTGACATTGCTACATTTTTCTTTTCCTGAACAATTAGGAGAATGATGTTTCCATTTAATGAAATGATCAAAACTAGAAGAGGAGTCAGCTTAGGTTAAATGGTGGGGAAATTTGGCAAGCCAATTTTGTAAGCCTTTTGAGACATCCAAGTGGAAAATTCTGGATAGGCAGTTGGACGCAGGACTCATGGTGGAGATAAAAGCTGGTGGTATAAGTGTCTTATCCTATAGATTTCACAACCATGAGCTTAGTTAAGAATGCGTAGGACCAAAAATTAGATAGCGATAATGAGGGCAATCAGAACTGTTCCGTGGGCCACCTGATGCTTACTTGAAAGGAACAGTAGAGGGATCCAAGGAAGATGGCCAATGAGAGAGGAAAAGAACCACAAAGGAGGTGATGCCTCTGAGTAAAGTGACACAGTGATTTAAGGAGAGAGAGAGGGGGAGAGAGAGAGAGAGAGAAAGAGAGAGAGAGAGAAAGGTTTAGCAGATGGACCAAATACGCTGAAGACTGAGAATCGACCAATGCCTTGTACCACAGTGTTGTTGACAAGAACACTTTCTGTGGCGGAGTGGGGAAAAACCCCACTGAGATTATGTTCATGCAAACATGGGAAAAAAGAAATTGAAACAAACTGTAGAGAACTACTTTGAAGACTGAGATTAAAAATATTTTAAAAAACATGAAGGGTAGTTGAAGGAGGGAGTGAGGTTTATGGTGAAAGTTGACTTTTCTATTGTTTTTCCTTGAAGGAGAAAGAACAGCTTATTCTAAGTATTAGTATGGCAACAGAAGGAGAAATGCTAATGACGCAAGGGAGGGAGGGGGCATTACTGTGATTACATCCCTCAGTAGGTGGGAAAGGATGGGATTGAAAGCACCTGGGAGAGAAGCATAGCTGCTAGGCCATCATAGAAGGGAAGCCACAACAGCTGGATGACTGAATGATGAATAAATGAGAGTAACCCTGTCTAAAAAGGCCCCAGACCTGGCTCATTATACACCAAACACTGTGTTATTATTGTACTCATCCTTGTGCCCAGAAGGATGTAATATGTCTTGCGATCAACACCTCTTCCCATGGTTTCCTACACTCTTCCTGTCCATAATTTTCTGGAACCCTAATACAAATACGAATAGAAAACATACTAGAAAAGCCTCCTAAATTGCTGAGGCTTCTCAAATGTCTTTCATTTTCAAAAGCAGGGTCCATGTACAGCATGAGGACATAGCAGTCTTTGGAACTGCCGTGGAGGGGTCGCAGAGAGAAAAGCCAAATGAGCCAAATACCTGGTGATTGGACGGGAGGAGGAGACTGAAGAGCATGGCTTTGTCACAGGCCAGTCTGTGCATGCTCCAGTTATGCTATCCCAGTGGCCACTGCAATTCTAAATTTAGTTTTATTGTGTTTGTATGGTGACCAGTATCCTGGAGTTCTGACAGTTAAAAAATATAATAGTCTTCTATATTATAGAAATGCTCACAGCATATTTTTAGAATCGCTTCAACATTCCTAATAGGAAATAAAATTTTAATATATTTTTTTAAATTTCATAGCAAGATTGTGGTCACACAGGTATTTTGGAGTTTTGGGGATGGCAACAGAAGCAGAATACCCTCATGTACATTCCACATATATTTGAATATTTTTAACATGCAATTGATGTCAAAGTGTAGAGAAAATTCAATGTGACATTAATGAACACAGTCTAATCAATTAAAATTCTCTATCTTGTCTGCAGCATGCCTTCTTTAGTATATAGTATGATTTAATATATAGGATGCAAATGCTAAAAATCTAAGGATGGGCATGTTTGACCTTGAAAAGGCATTGATGATAATTCTCTGTGAAATATGCCAGTTGCAATTTCAGAAATGTGCAGACTGGCAAGGATTGCTTAAAAAATGGAAATAGGATTTCGTATGATTGACCTGCTGGATCACATATGTGCTGAAATGTCTTTTGTGCTGAAGCTGAGAAGCTTAAAACACTGGGCGCTTAGAAAAAGAATATCCTCATCACTTTCTCAGTGTTCTAAGTTACTCAGGCTTTCTGAGCCCAATTCCTTATTTTCATTTATATATTTTTGAAGATATTTTTATTGATTTTATAGAAAGAGGGAGAGAGAGATGAAAACATTGATGAGAGAGAACATCGATTGGCCACCTCCTGCACACCCCTTAGTGGGGATTGGGCCCGCAACCCGGCATGTGTCCTGACTGGGAATCAAATCAGTGACCTCTTGGTGCAGGGGACAACAAAGCCTACTGAGCCACATAGGCCACAGTAAATTCCTTATTATTATTTTCTTAATCCTCACCCGAGGATATTTTTCCATTTATTTTCAGATAGAATGGGAGGGAGGGAGGGAGGGAGGGAGGGAGAGAGGGAGGGAGAGAGAGAAATATCAATGTGAGAGGGCACATCGACCTGTTGCCTCCCGCACAACTCCGACCAGGGCTGGAGACCAAACCACGACCCCCTTGACCAGAATCAAAGTAGGGACTCTTTGGTCCACGGGCCATAGTTCTAACCACTGAGCAAAACTGGCCAGGGCTAATTCCTCATTTTTAAACTAACTTGAACCACATGTCACTACAAATTTTCTTGTTCCCTCACTTCCATTTTTCAAATAGGATTTCACCCAAAATACTTTTGGGTGAAAAATTCTCAATAAACAAGAAGATACTGTCGCGCTTTTCTTAACAGCCCCAAATAATATTTGGTGAGAAAGAGAGAGAGAGACTTAAAGGAGAAAAGCTAATGGAGAATAAAAAGTTATTTCGGTAGCTCATCATTTCTGCTATTTTAAATCCTAATGGTTTTGTGCAGGCACTGTTAAATGAGATTTACTTTTTATTAAGAAGCCTATAAGAAAACACACACACACAAAACCTACAACTTCAGATAAGTGAGCTCCCTTGATCTGGGTTACAAAATCCTGGTTGGTCAGATTCATGTGGGCAAAAAGGGATGTTTACGAACAGGGGTGATGGGTGTGTTGAACCATTCACTCAGCACAGACACCAGCCATTGCAAGGGAAGAAAATGGACGATGAGAACAGACTCTGGCCCCTACCAACCTGGAAGGCAAGATGTGTGTGTACTTGTGAACATAAGACCTTGTTTAGAATATCAAATAAGGACTTCCGCTGAGGAGGATGGGCAAGCAGAAGATCATCTGGGCCCTGGCGGTTTAGCTCAGCAGTTAAAGTGTCAGCTGTGGACTGAAGGGTTGTGGGTTCGATTCTGGTCAAGGGCACGTACCTCAGTTGTGGTTTGGTCCCCGGCCCTGAGCGGGGTCATATGGGAGGCAGCCAGTCAGTGTGTCTCTCTCACATCGATGCTTTTCTCTCCCCCTCCCTCCCACTCTATCTAAAAATGAGTGGAGAAGTGTCCCCGGGTGAGAATTAAAAAAAAAAAAAAAAAAAATAGATCACCTGGTATAACCAAAACATGCTTAAATTAGAAGTTTCAAGTACGTTTTTCTT